AATTCGGCTTAGCCAGCTAAGTTAGAGTCGATAAATATTTTTTACCTTCAGAATTTATCAGTGATTTTATCAAATTTTTGTTATAACCTTATGTTCATTGATTTTCTTTTCAGATTTTCTTGACTCTTACTCTTAGTGCTATGTACTAAGAGAGGTAATGTATAGAATTTATTGGTACTTAATATAATCTAACATAAAGTCGACTAAGTCAATTTTTTGAAAAATTGGCTGACTAAGCTGGCTAAGTCGATAAAAATCGACTATGCGAAATTAACTACAAATACTAGATGTTGATAACAAAAATAGTTAGCAAAAATAGCTAGTGAAATTAGCAAATTTAGCAAAATAGCTAAATATAAATTACATTTATTAAGTATAAAGTTTAATATAATCATATTTTTCTTCTGCGAGTTCATCTATCATTTTAGTGGGTTCTCATTATATAAAATATGCATATAATTACTCATTTATATAATCAGTTCAAAAATAAAATTAATAATTATATGTTTAGTACAAAAGTAGCAAATTTCGCATCTTAGCACAAGACAATTACTGCTAACTATTTTGCTAAAAAATGGCACTGTTTTAGATACTAAAAATTTCGAGGACTCTGAGTTAAAAGGTAATCTTGTGGCAAAGGATTATGCAATACATCAAGAAAACAAAAGCCTTTTACTCAAATTGCAAGAATTGCAATATAAGCTTGAGGGCATCTATTCTGATAGCATTGGTATCGATATAATCCCAATACAAAGTCTAAGAAATATTGAACGTGAAAATAACTTGCTTAAAGAGCAAACTATTGAAAATAAGAATAAGATTAAAAGAGGTTAATATAATTTCTAATTTTAATATACAACAATGTGTTTTATTTTGATGATAATTAATTTTATATACATTCTAAATTGTATCTATATTATTTATAAGGTATTGAAAAATAAATCTCAGGAATATAATTAAACCTTATCCAGACTTTTTTGGTTATAATTTTGAATTCTTCAAGAACAAAAAGTGTTCGATTAACATCATTGTTCTCTGATGACAATAATTTTTTCATATGACACTTACTTCTAAAACATCCACTTTATACATATTTGTCCTATGTCTTATCTTACTGTTTACATGTGCAAACCCTTCTCCATACTACTTGGTCTGACAACAGAGTTTAAAAATTGGCATGCACAAGGTACATATGTGCAAGAGTTTTTTTAATGTGAAAGAATTTTGTGCATATATACAAGAAAAAAATTGCATAAAATATATATATAATTATAAAAGTTATATTTGTATAAGTGAAAAAAATGGGAAATAGCAGCGATCTTCGACGGTGCTACAGGAAGACCAAATTTGGAACCGGAAACTGAGATCGGAGAACTGAGCGACCAGGTCCTTGAAGGGG